GTTTAAGTACATAGCCTATACATCCTTAAATTCGATAGCGAATTGAAAAGAATGTGTTTGAAAAAGATCTTCTTTTATCCTTATCCAACCAGATTTTCAATCGTTTCATTTAATCCCGTACCTATTGCGTATCGTCAACGCGATGACGTTGAACTAATCCCCCGGACATTCAATTCCGAAACGCTACGTCAGCGGGACACTTTCAAGCATATTGAAGCTGGATCGTGTAGCCGGTCGCCATTTGCTTTAAGCCCTCCTTTCCATATTTATCTTAGTCTTCTTCATTACGGGGCCACTCGCAGTTTCCTCTTTTCGTTTTCCTTTTTTATCGTTCAGGATTACTGGTCTATTCGGCAGCGGCCGAACGTCTTGCCTACCGTGGCGAACACGCAGATTGCTTTGCGTCGGGAGAATTTACGAGCGTCGATGATAAACTTGCCAAAAGTATAATCGAAGTCAAGAGGAATTGTCAACATGAACTGATTGAAAGAAATGCTTATAGAGAAATTCTTATGACTACCCTCAAGTTTAAATTCAAACTACTACCTCTGCTTGTGCATACATTTCTCTCAGTGGACTCAAAATTGGTTTCAGGGGCGGGGAGGGAGAGAATCTCCAATACAAATTATGCCTCAATTCCGAGTATCATATAAGAATAAAGACGATACGTTCCGACTTTATTTCTGTCAGAACTTATCGATCACTTTTCAAGAACGAGTAGCTAGGCAAAGAGTAAGTTTTCCGTTTTCTGCTGACAGAAATGTATCGAAATCATTGGTGGTGTACACAGCGAAATATTTGGAGGCGTTTCGCAGGATCGTAAGGGTGTTCGACGTTTCCGCAGCGCGGTCGGGGCCATACGCCTCGCGATTTAAGTCGTCAACTTTTATGGGGGTAGTTTTCGCGGAGACGGTTCGTGGCAAGCCAACATAAAAGGGGGTGGAAGTTTCTGGTAATATGGCGGGTTCCCGAGGAATATGGCGGCAACTGTATACAAGAGATAGCGACAATATTGAGGCGGTGGGAGCGTTGAAGAAAACCAACTGGGTTTTACCTACAGCCCAAGCGCCGATTTCGGGTCACTGGCCTTCTTTTCGTTTCCTTCCCCTTCACCGTTTGTTTCATTAATAATTAAACTGTAGCTATGCAAAAATCGACAGAACCAGAACTTCTCAATCCTTTCTTACAATTACAATACATCCGTGATTAAAAAAAAATTATAGATCTTGGAGCCAAACTTCGTTAAAATCAATCTCAATGAAGAAATCTTTTATCGATTCCTGTCGTTTCAATTTATCTATAGAGCTTATCTATAGATTTTCTTCGCGTGGTTCAACTGCTGTCGGCGACTAAAGACGGATTAAGAAAGGAAGAGGACTGCACTCTTTCGCCGCTGATTGCATCTGGCATTTGTGTCACGCCCTTGAGTGCCCAGTCGATATGCCCGGACAAATTGGGAATTGGTATTCCGTTCGCGGTCACCGCGACGGCCAGACGGAT